CACAGACTGAACACTGACCTCTTGTGGTCAAACCGAGTCCTGCAGGAGACTCTCTGCACATCTGTGTTACCTGAGTTTTTCTTTTTTTTCTTTTCTTCTGTGTGCTGTTGAAGGCGATAAAAAATACCTAATGGGCTCGAAGCTGTCGACGGTAGACGCTGCCGTGTTCAGTCATCTGGCTCCGGCCATGTGGACGCTGCCGGGGTCACGACCCGAGCAGCTCATCAAAGGTGAGTTCACCTGTACTGGCATCAGCATCCAGTATTCAAGCTGTTTATAGTTCACCAAGTGAAATTATTTTGCACATTTTCAGGCAAATAATTTGCAAAATCCCGCACATTGTAAATATTTACATTGCTTTTATTACCTTTATAATACCTGAAGTTTAGTACTCTTGCTTTTTCGATCTCTCTTTGTGAGTTTTTTTGTGTAAATTTTTGTCAAAAAAGCCAAGTTAAATTGACCATGACTGTGATTCTTTACATCATGATGCTGCCACCATCGTGCTTAACAACAGGTGTGGTGTGTTTGTGATGATGTGCAGTGTTTAGTGTCCGACAAACATAGCATCTCATCTGGACAAGAATTTTGTAAATTGTTTTTCAACAAGTCAAATTAAATTGACCGTGATCGTGATTCTTCGCGTCATGATGCTGCCACCGCCGTGCTTCATCTTTAATTCATTGACATTACTTTGTAGAATCTGTCTTTTATTTTGTAATTTCTTCTCCAAAAAGTTAAATTAAATTGACGATTCCATGTTAAAAAAAAGACCAAAAGGGTAAAACTTCCAAGGGGGTGAGTCCTTCTTATGGGATTGATCCGTTTGTCCCTCCCAGGTGAGCTCATCAACCTGGCCATGTACTGCGAGCGCATCCGCCGGCGGTTCTGGCCCGAGTGGTTCGTGGACCTGGAGGACTTCCGCTACAGCGACGCCACGGAGAGCGTCGACTCGGCCTCCAAGCTCCCCGACCTGGGCCTCTACTCGCGGACCGACACCTTCCAGGACGACACCCACTCGCACACCTCGCCCCGAGACCCGCCGTCGCCCGACAGCGACCCGACGGGCCTCTCGCTGTACGACTCGGACATGGACACGGAGTGCTCTGAAATAGACCAGCTCAAGTGTTGACGACACACACACACACATAGTACACAACACATAGACACACCACAGGAGGGCGCCCCCTACCTCTCAGAGCAGAAATGACCCGGTTTCTGGCGTGGAAGAGGGTTAACTCGCAAACTGCGGTGGAGGAAAAAACGGCAGCAGAAGGAAAAGGAAGTAGAGCGGGAAGAAAGTTGTGAAACCAGGAGTGCATGACGCCGTGGCCGAGAAACTCCTCCACGTTTGTCACCTGCAGTCACCCTGTACCTGTTGTCGTGTCGCTGTAGCCATGGCAACCACAACCGTTTGTGCACGCCCCCTGCTGTCCGTCGTGGCGACTCGCACCGAGCATCGCGTGTGTTCGATCGGGATGGGATTCATGCGAATGAATACGGCTCAGTGTAAATATATAATCTGATTTGTCAGATTTAACAGATAGAATATTTGATTAAATATAAATATACGAGTATAAATAGTATAGATAGGATGGAAGTATATCTCCTGTGTCATACGGTGTAAATACTGTCGGTGTTGGACTCAATCTGTCGTGTTTTAGTCTCCATGATTCGCCGCTATCTGTTTACACGACGGGGACGTTCCAGTAATGCCTGCTGCCCGCATTTAAGTAGTGAAACTGAACATAGAAGATCTTCCAGCACTTTTAAAACTCATCTTTTTGTCTTATGAAGACAATTATTTTGCCAAAAAAGAAAAAAAAACTCCCCACATCTTAGAGTACCGAGGCTCCGGTGATAGTAGCTTGAGACATTTCACAGCGTTGAGAGCGAGTCGAACAATCGCGTAGACGTAGTAGATAAGTAGCGTGAATGAACGTGCATGGCTGGTACGTGCCCACGAAGACGTCCCTTTATATGAACTCGTCCACATTTCTTCTTCGCTGCAGCTCGTTTGTTTCTGGATGAACAGGAAGATGTAGCCAGAGGATGTTTAAAAAAAGGATTTGAGTTTTTTTTTTTCTCGACAGATCGCTCGGAAAGCAATAAGAGAGCAGCTTCACTCTGGTTTGGTTTAGGTTTAGAAAGGTTTTAATGTTTGTTTGTGGCTCAACGTTTCGGCTGCTAAAAAGTAGAATATAAGTGCGTTAATGAGGCTTCACAGCTGTTCAGGTAGAAACGGTGATCGCTCTGATGCTGCTTCTTATTTAAGGTGCAGAAAATCCACAGCAGCGTCTTCACAGAGTCAGACTGATGATTGGTTCACTTAAAGGCCTGATCACACGTGTTTTTGATTGATCGCAGGGGGGAAGAACCATGTGCATGTTGCTGTAGATGAACTAAACTCTCCACCTGCAGCCTTATTAGCCTCAGTCAACATGAAAAGTTGGTATTTGTGTCGTATTAAATCACTGCAAACTGGCTGTTTTCCACTGAAATGCTAAAACAAGGGTGTTAACAAGTAGTTTGTTCCTCCTGTCGCCAAAGAAAATGGTTTAATCCTGTTGAGAGGTTCAGTTCTGAAGCACAAAGATGCTAAAACATAACGTGCATGAAGACATTGTGTGATCAAGTTTATTAAAAAGACATTTCAACACGATTAAAGTGCTAAATAGAGAATAAAAAGTTGGATTTTATGGAAAGAACACGTTACAGATATTCAAAAACACATCAACCAATGAATCCACCTGGATCCTACAGGTCTGGTTAGTCGGTAAACTGCTTCATCTTCTGGCCTAAACTGGTCCAACAGTCATCAAGCTTCCAGAGTTTCTCGCCGTCGTCCCGTTATGATCCGTTAAAGAACCCATGTTCTGCCCTTTGGTTCCTCCGTTACTCCAAAGTGCCAGAAAGCTGCTTTTTTTTATGCAAACTTACAAAGCTCCTCTCTGAAGGGAAAACTCAGCTCCTTACCGGCCTGAAACGTCTCGTTTGTCATCCAGGTTTTCCTCCGTTACGCGTCGACATCACAACGTGACACATTAGCATCAATGCTGCTAGCAGCTAGCTCGGCCTCAAACAAAGAACGAGCGGTCGCTTTTGCTCCGCCTTTCTGCTTATACTCAGAAAACCTGGAGTTACTAGCCGACATTACCTGGCTCCGGTCGGACCAGTCGACCAATCAGAGCAGCAGAGTGGGCTTTTTAAGGAGGGGGAGGGGCTTAAAGAGACAGGCGCTAAAACGGAGCGACAGGAAAACAGCTGCAGTGCTGTACAGAATTAGGAAAATCATGCGTTTATGAGCATGAAAGCATGTAAATATCATCTAATGGACCCAAAACATACAATTATGAACCTGTACATTTGCAGAATATGGGTTCTTTAAAAAATTACTAAAAAGGAAGAGTTTGTACCCACATACAAACTGGAATAATTCTACTGGATTAAATTCAAGTTTTGTAGTTTAAACACTGTTGTGACCGGACTTCAGCAGACCAGTATATCTGTGGGCGTATCTTTTATGTCAGCCAGTAACTACAAGACAGAAATGCCGACGATACGCCTGAGATCATTTCTAAACTCTAAACTAACGCATCCAAAACGTGTCTTTGGGGTGTTTGACTCCCTCAAATCTCGACATGAGAAGCTGCATCAGTCTGACTCAGTTGGTGAAGACGCTGCACAAACATGGAACTCGAGTTCAAACCTGTAGCATTAGCATGTAGCAGAAATAAGAATTAATCTGATAGCGAATAAGGTCACGGGATCGGAGCTGAATGACGGCGTTTGGTTTTTTTTTGCTCCGTTTGGCTGCTTCACTGTTCTCTGCTCAACACAACAACATCACCGACATGTTGGACGGCCTGAACGGAGGCCGGCTGAGGAATCCACCTGGACGTTTTGTGTCTTAGCCTCCCTCGCCTGCATGCTCTTTGCCTTCAGACTCAGCCTTATGGAAACTGTTTACTTTAAACCAGTGCCAGCAGATGACTTCTGTTCTTATTTATTTAACTTAAGTTCCTTCAATGTGCTTGAATTCTGGAAATACTGTCGATTTGTTTTGCACTTTTCTTCTCATGTTTACATTTGGTTCGGCCGAGCGTCGGTCTGATTTATCGACCCGTGTGTTGGTGCAACGCTGTAGATTCTCCTCATCCCTGTATCTGCATGTGCATCCATGTTTCGGGGGTAAACGTTTGGGGGGTTTCATGTCACTGTCGTGTTTTTTGCTGCAAAACTCTCCAGAAGACGTCGCTCTGCAAGTGCTTCATGTTCGGTTGAACCTGAAATCCCACAAGGACCTGATCAGCTGATGGTCAGAGTCTCCTCTCTCTCTCCAAGTTCACACGTTGCAGGACGGAAAAAACAAACTGCAAAAGTCCGACTCCATCTGTCTCAGTGTTCCTCGGCGTCTGAAGGTCGGAGGCCGAGCTTCGGGCGCCGCCTTCTGCTTGTAGACTGTAGAAACCACATTGTCTGTCTCTTGGTGTCGTGTTTTGCTGAAACACTTGTGGAAACTCATCAGACTGTAAATAAGAGAGCCGGATTAAAGGCGAAGTAATATAGAAGAAGATGCTCTGTAAGGTTTAAGAAAAACAAAAGATTCTTCTGAATGTATCATAACTAGAGATAAGAGGCTGTATGACAATGGACTACTGGTAAGATTTCATTAAATATAGCTGTGATATTTTCCTCTGCTTTTGCTTCAGTTCCTGCTTTTGTTCGGTGTGAAAAATCCCTGAA